CTGATGGCGATGTTGGGGCCATGAGATAGAGTCATGTATGGAGAAGCTCTGTATGGATATAAAGAGCTGCCGAAATGAAGAGTTGTGTCATTATTGCCGGGTGTCAAGAAAGGAGCGACATTAAAAGCAAATGTTTATTTTCAAAGGTTATGTAGAGATGGCTCCAGTTTTAAATGACTTCCTAACAGAGAGCTTCAACAGGAATTTGATTCACAAATTTAAAAATGCTGAAAAGAATAGGTCTCCACTTACCAAGTAAATAACTGTTTCTTGATGTAGAGGGTCCCAACATATCCGCAAAAAACATCTAAGTAAATTTAGGCATCAGTGTATTTCAGTGCATGAAAGAGAAAAAAAGGAAAGACACTGTAAAAAAATGCAGATATTATCTGGAAGACTCATATGTATTATATCATTTATTTTTAGTGAAATGAGGGGATAAATTATATTAAATAACTTCATGTGGTATTGAACATGTATGTCTAAAAAAACATGTGAGGAAGAGCAACTTACATGAAGTTTAAATTGTCTAAAAAGGTTTCTACTAGGCTCAAAATGACTCTCAGATGTTGTGGACCAGAAAGATGAAACTTCGTTACATGGACTTGTAAATAGACTGCCTTGAGGTCAAATTTGGGAATTTGCTCTCTATGGAGTTGCCATATGTGTTCAATAAAAAGAGTTGTGCACAGGGAGTCTTCATGAAGCCACCGAGAGCCCAGGCAGCAGGCGCACAGTAAGGTGGCTGCTCAGCGCACAACCTTTCTACCATGTGTCAGGCAGCCTACCCGTTACCCTCTCTGCCCTCAACAGCCGTTAGCCTGCTGGCCCCCATCATAGCGGTAGGCTTAGGAGGGGCACAGTTTAGTGGAGAAAGAATAGTCTTTTCAAGAAATGGTGCCGGGACAACTGGATATCCACATGCGAAAAAATGAAGCTGGACCTGTTCCTAATCAAATTGGACCATTGATCTACAGCGTGAGAAAAAATACATCAGCTGGACTTCATTAAACTTTAAACTTCTGTTCTTCAAAGGGCGCCATCAAGATTAAAACACACACACACACACACACACACACAGAAGGACTGGGAGAAAATATTTGCAAACCCTATATCTGATAAGGAACTTGTATTCTGTAGAAAGAACT